TATTGGGTAAACATACTTCAGATGTTCAAAGGAGGTGACAAAATTTTTGCTGGCAGCCAGGACCTGGCTGGTTTCCAGCTTGCCTTTAGCTACTATGCATATAGCATAGAGAGAGGCATTTAAAATAGAAATACAAAGTATTATTTCTATTGTTGTCCTCTCCACTTATATTTATTTCTCTTAATTTTATTCTTTTATGATATTTTCTGGGCTAGCATCTTTTGACATGTTGCTATTCTGGTGAAATGATAGATGTATATGGTAAGGTTTTAATTTTTTTTTTATTGTGATCAAAACCAAATACACAAAACACTGGTTCATAATCTGGAATATTGCACTGAACTCAAGGGGAAATTGTTGGCTCAAAAAGTGCTATATAGATCACAGAAAAGAGGGGAAGAAAAACGACATTGCCTTGAGTCACTTGTCCTGTTAAAGAGAATAGCTTTCTCTGTAGACTTATGAAATTAATATCTTGATCTAAAGGTTAGGAAAGAACACTTTTCTTATCAATAATAATTGTTGTTGCAGAATGTAGCTCGTCACAATGATAAGTACTTTAATGTTTATGTCTTCATCAAGTCAGATGCTTGGTTAAAGAAAGCCAAAATGAATAGTTTCAGTTTGTCTTTTGATCCCATATAAGTAATATGAATAAAAACCCTCAAAGATCATAGTTATACAATTGTCAGTGTCATATTGGATAGGCTAAGGGTACTTTTACTTAGATGCTGAAAAATTGCTAACTGTATACTGTTCTTTGACACAGCAGACTGAGGTTCAGATCCTGGCTGGTACCTACCTTTATGTATGGCATTCTCAGGCAAAGGCCCACTAATGTTTATATCTGTATACCTCAGATATAAGAATGACACAAACTAAGATAATCGTGCTGGCTCTCACATAGATTAACAAGGTCTGTGTTTGATGTTGGGAAACCAGAACAATTTGACAATTAGCTACTGGAATAAATGATACTTGGACAAGATAAGAGAGCCTAGAATTGATGGAATAATAACAGTAGGCCTAATGAGAGGGAATACAGGTAGTCCTCAATTTACAGCTATTTCTTTAGAAGTTGTAACCAAAGTTACAATGGCACCGAAAAAGAAATGAATTTTTATAATCCTTTTTCACATGACTGTTGCAGCACCCCCATTGGGTGCTTGGCAACTGGCATGTATTTATGACAGTTGCAGTGTCCCGTGGTCATATCACCTTTGTAATCTTCTGACAACAAAGTGAAGGGAGAAGCCAGATTCACTTAATAACTGTGTTACTAACTTAACTGCAGTTAAGTTACTTAACAGTTGATTTACTTAACAGCTATGGCACGAAAATTGTGAAATGGGACAAAGTTCACTTAACTGTCTTGCATAGCAATGGAAATTTTGGCCTCAGTTGGGTTGTAAGTTGCAGACTACATGCACATGAAATGAGGGGACTATGGATAGATGTAAAAGTTATATCCACAGAACTAAAATCATCTAGTTACCTAATGCTTTAACATAGAGAAGAAAAGCTGCTGTCAAATCTTGAGGGAGATCAATCTCGCATTACATCCCACAATCAAGAATACTTGAAGAATAACTGGATGTGTAGCCAATACCTGAAGCTGGAGCACCACTGTCATTCCCTCCATTACACAAAAAAGCAGATGATATGATGCATAAGATCATTTATAAACTAGCTACAGTTCATCCTTGAGAACAGCTACCAAGCCTCATTGGAAAAGATAATATGCTAGAAGATCCAGTAGAGTCCTAATGACAATCCCTATTATCACCTTATCACAAACCAGTGAACTAGTATATGCTAAAAAAGGTAAAAGTTTCCCCTATCCACTTGTTTCTGACTCTCTGCTCATCTCCGTTTCTTATCTGAGGGAGGCAGTGTTATCTGAAGACATTTTCATGGTCATGTGACCAGCATGACTATGTTCAAGGCACATGTAACACTTACCCTCCCACTGAAGTGGTACCTATTTATCTACTTGCATTTGTATGCTTTTGAACTGCTAGGTGGGCAGGAGATGGGGCAAGTAACAGGAGATCAACCTGTCACAAGATGCTGAGCTGACAAACTCAGCATCTTTAACCATTGAACCATCATGCCCCCTATATATATGCCATAGCTGCTGTAATCCTGGAGATGCTTGGCTTCACAATCAAGAAAAACAGCAGTACAATACATCTTGAAGACTAAAGACATGTTGAAGACTAAAAAAGGCAATGTGAGAAGTTAGTCAGCTGGTACTGAAGAGTATGGAGATGACTGAGCTAAAAAATATAAGAGCCTGAAACATTAATAACTGCTAAACAAAGGCTAGCAGCAGGCTTCCGTCCAGACTTACTAACTGTAAGGGAAGGATTGGCAGAACCTGGGGTAGAGTTAAAAGAGGGATCAACTTAGACTTTTTACATAGCTTACAAGTGAACTTAGTTCAACCATCTTAAATTATGTTGATCCTTAATCTACCTCCTGGCAGGTCTGTTAGTTGATAATATTCCTGTGCATAGGCATGAGTAGCAATAAATCAGTTTAATTGAATCTTCACATGTGGACTGGATATTTTGTGCCTGACATCAAAACAAGGTGCTCATCAGGAAAGACTCCCACAAGAGAAATGCACTGTTCAACTTCTGTCCATTAACATGTCCCCCCTCCCCCCAGCATGGAAAGTCCTTTCAGGCATCATAGCCACCAAACTAGAGAATCATATGGTTCAATACATGAGCACAGGTCAGAAGGGCCTTGGGAAGAACACCAGAGGATCAAAACACTAGTTGCTCATAGATAGAGCAATAACCCAAGACTCAAGGTCTAGACAGACTGATCCAAACAAAGTCTGGATTGATTACAAGAAAGCCTGGAACTTAATATCATGAATATAGATCTATGAATGCCTAGTGCAATACAAAGTCTACAGGACACTAAGAACTGACTGTGGAAGATAACACTGGAAGTCAACTCAAGAACTCTCACATAAGTAGCCATTAAGTTGTCCCCATTGTTATTTGGCCTTGAAACCCTCAGTGGAAGGAGTGGTCAAACATGTCATTATTTATTTATTTATTTATTTATTTATTTATTTATTTATTTATTTATTTATTTATTTATTTATTTGCCGTATTTCTATGCCTCCTACTCTCCGAGGACTCTGGGCGGCTTACACCAAAGACAGTATACTAAATAGCATATTGCCCCCTAACAATCTGGGTCCTCATTTTATCCACCTCAGAAGGATGGAAGGCTGAGTCAACCTTGAACCGGTGAGATTTGTTCCACTGATCTGCTGAACTAGCAGTCAGCTAAAATAGCTGCAGTACTGCACTCTAACCACTGCGTCACCTCGGCTCATATAATGAGTCCCTGTGCGCCATAAGAGATCTAAGTTCAAGCCATCTTGTAAACTTTTCTTATCTCCTGCTAATTTTCCTTGACTGTTAGTATCTCAGATTCTTGTAGAACGCTTAAGCTTGCAATAAATTTTTATAGTCATTTGCTCTGCATGATTTTCTTGATTTTCCATGCACATGACAAATGCCATCTCTCTATTTATAAATTCTGTCTTACTTTCCAAAACTTCCACTTTGTCAGTATAGGTACTGTAGTTCTCGACTTATGACTATAATTGGAATCAGAATTTCTGTTGCCAAGCAAAGTGGTTATAAAGTGGGTCACATTTGATTTTTCAATCTTTTTGCCATGGTTGATAAATGAATCACTGCAGTTGTTAAGTGAATCATGTAGTGGTTAAATGAATCTGTCTTTCCCATTGATTTTGCTTGTTGGAAGCCAGCTGGAAAAATTGCAAATTGTGATCACATGACACAGGATGCACCAAGGATAGGCACACAAGTGACAAACAGAATGAACTAGCAATCTAGTCTATGAAGACTGTTTTGTGTGTCTAGCTTATGTAGATTTCCTTGACAATGTATGCCATATGCTAAATAAATGCATGGCACTATTTTTTATTCTTCCTGTTTACAATCGGTTTCGATTTGTAAAATCTACTGCAGGTGCTCCTTCACCAATCATCTGGAGTAAATGTATGAAATGTGTAAGATGGAGAATATATTCAACTTAGTGAAATTGATTTCTCATTGAAAAATACTCTTTGATACAACTCAGTATGTTTTACTTGGAAGTGGCTTTCTTAGACCTGAATGAGTAGTTTACCACAGGGAATAATGACTTCTGCATATTTGTATTTTAAGTTCACTTTGAAAATCATATAGTAATTCTTTAATTAATTTTAGTAGTTGAAAGTCACATGAATGTAAACCAGTTCAGAGGGACTTTGCACTATTTATAGTACTGGCAAGTGGATCCCATATTTGCTTCAAGTATTGAAATGTATTAAATAGATGATAGGGATGCAGTGTCCAATGCAATTCCTAAAAATCAGATGTTTAATATACAGGATAATTAGAAATAAATAAAAGCAATGTAATCATTCAAGGATGATTTTATTTTGTAAAAATCCCTATTATTACAGCTTTCGTGTTTTTGTGTGCACTTTTCATAAGGAACTTTAAACACACACACACGCACACATACATATATAGTTATTAAACTTATTTTTGCATATATTTATATTCTTCAAAGCCTTTCAAATGCAGTACAGTTGCAATTAATTATCTATCTGCTAGGTGTCAGCAAAGGTTCTTGTTAATGTAATTAATTGATGCATTCATAAAGTAGATTTGGTTGCAGTTCCTAGATACATTTTGATTTGGAGAAAGTAATTTTCTGGGATTTATTTTTAAATTAATTCAGTAGGTAAACTTTTAAATACTTTTAAAAGTTTTAATGCCATCATCCTTAGAGTCAACTACTACTATCAACTTCAGTATGTACAAATATACTATTATCATTTTTATTAGAATGATCAGCCGATCCAAAATATATTGAATTTGGAGGTTGTAGATTGATATTTTTCTCCCAAGAAAATATCTATAGAATTGCAGCTAGAATAAATGTGGAACACATGGTATCATACTCAGTCACCTCATTTAATTGGTAATTTATGTCAGACAAATTAGTAGATAGAACAAATATTATGACAATCACAAACTTTTGTCAAAGGCCATTTTAGCTGTTTGATGATATAATGGCAATTTTCAGTGTCAGAAAATATACACTAAATCACCTACAAAGGCAAATACTAAATTGTTCTGCAGCTTTTCCACAAAAGTTGAACAAAGCTCATCAACTCACAGTTTTCACTGTATTTCCAGCAGATTGGCCATGTATTGGTGGATTCATTGTTTTGACTTTGATGTGACTTGTTCTGAAAAGCCGTAGGGAAGAAAAAAAAAATGAGTTATCTAAAAATCTTCTGGTCTTGTACACTATATTTCCTTAGCTTATTCAGAGTCACCCTTCCTAAATTTTTTAAATTTCTTATACAATTATATATAAAAAGAAAGTGAGGAGAGAAAAGAAGACAGGAAAAAGGAAAAATCTATAAAAACATGCTTATAATAGTCAAAATTGGCCTTCATATATAATGTCATGTTATAGAGCTAAAATTGTTACCATTTAAGTTAGTTTACTGATAGAAATTAAACTTCTAAATTGGTATATAGCTCATTTTTTGTCTTTATTTAATAAAATAGAAAAAATAGCAGAGGAAAGAAAAAATACATAATGGCTTTATGAAAACAAATTGATTTCTTTGAATTGTGTTGGAGAAAATTCTTGGTAGTACCGTATCTTGTGCTGCAACAACAACAAATTATTCAGTTCTAATGAAGTAATTCTGGATACTCTGGAAATTTTAATAGTGAAGCTAAATCTTAAATATATTAGTAACATATTGTGAGAGCTAGGATCTTTGGTGAAGTTGATGTTTGGAAAAATCAAAGGCAAGGAAGAGAAACTTACAATGGATAATACTGTAAGGCTCAATATTAGAGTACCACTAATGACAACCCCATATTAAAGCAGTTACTGACTAAGCAAAATGACATCAGAAAAAGTTGAACAACAAAATGAATATGGATAAAAGGATCTAATAAGATAAATGATAACTTAATCAACATTTAATTTAATTTACCATGAAGTGTCCTTTCAAGGACCACACAGTGAAGGCCTGCCTAATGAAGGGAGAAGGGCCCAATCAGGAAAAGAAAGAATTCCAACATAAGTTGGAATAAGTTAGGGGAATATCATTGTCTGAGATTGTAAGGATAACTAATTAATAAAAGAATATATGGTTTATGAGTGAAAATCAAAATCAAATCAAACAAACAGTCAATTTTTGTGATTAAAATTTTGTGATTCCCCCACAAGGGGGAACCATAGAACATCTTGGCCCTGCCTTCTTACTTTCTTGAGATATTGGGTCTATTTTCCATTGACCAGAAGGATACCTCACGGTAACCATGGAAGCCATATCTTTCATAGTTCCTACAAAAAGAAGTGGAGTAGCCAAATCCTTTCCCTTAGAACCCTATAATATTTTTTTATTGTAGTTAAAGCAAGTCTTAGCATTCATATACTGTTATGCAAGCTTTTAACTTTGAAACTGCAAAGGTGGAATACAGATAGTTAAATAAACAAATATTTTCTTATTGTGATAATACACTACCTCTAGGTAGTGTATTATATTTACTATATATGGGCTTATATTTCTCTAGTAAGATGTATTCAGATGCTTTACTGGGTTATTCTTCCCATTTACTAATAATTCAAAACACTGAAGTACTCATAGTCTTGAATGTGCAAGATCTATCCTGGTATCTTTTATGAAAAAGAAAAATTCTACAGTGATTAAGGTGTTCTTGAGCTAATAAAAAAGAATGAAAGAGTGTCTATGCAGTACAGTATGTTACTTGCTGGAATACATAATATATGATCAAGTTGTATATTCTTTAAAGAACTAGCCACCCTAGTTTCACTTGATACCAGTTTGTTTTGTTTCCCAAAGTTAATCTATCAATATTTTCTCCCTTGCGCTGCTTAGAGAGTCCATTGAGTGGGTTAATCCTCATGTGATAGGGCCAGAGACTGAGTAAGAATTTGCTTAAACACATCTCCTCTTCCTGTCTAGCCCCAGTTCCTTACTCAGTCCGGCCTTAGAGACATAATTTTTGTCTAGCTCCTCACTGCACTCTCTAAACACCACTTTGGGGAATTTTTTTCCTTTTTGTTCCTGATTTCTGCCTTTTTTGGACTTTCATTGACAAGCGGTGATTGGCGGCTTTGCGCTCGCTCTAGCGCCGCTCAGCTGAGCTGCGGCTTTGGCGACGGCCTCTCTCGATGCATTTCAGCATGATTCGATCATAACCTTGTGGATTGTTGCCTGTGGAAGCCATGAGTCATGATAGACTGCAGGGGAAGCCATTTTGTCGGCTTCATACGGCAGGGATTGAGGTAGCCCCGTTTCGTTGGAGCTCAGCTATCCTGTAACCAGGCCACTTCGTGCGCTTCCTCTAGGAGCTGTTTTCGTCGGCTCCACTCCCCTGGGTTTTATTTCTGGCGTGACGGTACATTTTGTCGCACCCGCACCATTTTGTATTTGTTCTCTGGGCTCCTTATAGAGCGGGGTGATTTGCTTTGAGGCTTTCCCAGAGCTATTTTGCCAGCTCTAAGCCATTTTGTGGACACATGGGAGACAATTGCAAACGGAGCTGTTCTGCCAGTTCCGAGCCAATTGATTTTTGCTGAAGACGTGGGAGTGATTACAACCGGAGTGGTTTCTGTCAGCTCCGCGCCATTCTCTAGTGCGCTGCTTGGAGAATCCAAGAGCGTAGGTTGGGTATTTCCCCCAGTCAGGATGATATACTGAGTGCCTGTAGCTTTAAGAAGTTGTTGACTCCGCCTCCATGGCCTGGCTGAGGCTCAGTTCCTTTCACTCAGTCAGGATTGATAGAGTGCTTTTCCAGTTACTCCACAAACGCGGGTTTTTTCCCGCGCTCGCGCCATTTTGTGCACGCACCAATTGACTGGCTGGCCTTTTTTGTGAGGTTTATCCCCTCATGTTACATTGCTCCAGTAAGTGAAGAGACTTTATACTTACCTCTCTGAACCCTCCTGCTCGGGCCGTCTCCATTTCGCTCTTCTCACGATCCCTGCAATCTGCCATCCAGCTCTCCTTGCCCTCCATTTTACCTACGGCCGCCATTTTGTGATTGGGCCTTGTCGCCCGTTTTTTTTGGCTTCAATGTTCCTGTCCTTACTAAAGGCTCTGGAGGTGGAGGCAGTGCTGGGTCTGCATTAGGGGTCACCCCCCCTCGCCCTCCCCCAAAAAACAAAAAAACTCACAAGAAAATATAGAGACAGAACTTTCAATCACCGTTGTCGTTATGAGTGATCTCGATTTATCTTCGGATCCCGACCAAGCCCTCAGCTCATCCAAGGCCCAGCCATCCGGCCACTCTTCCCATAAACGGGCCAAGAAACGCTCCAAACAGGCTACCACTGACGAGCAGCCCTCCACCTCCACGGAGGCCCCTACCTCCAGGGGTCACAAGTCCTCATCGGCAGAGGCCAGGGCCGCTAAGTGATGACACGATGCCTTGGAACGCCGTTTTGACCAGGCGCAACGCAAGGCACACTCTTCTACACAGCCTGCTGCATTGGAGGCTCTGGTGAACGAACCACCAGTTTCCTCGCCTCCTTTGGCCCGTCCTGTGTTGCCTTCTGCTGAAGCCGCCGGTGTGGTTCCACCTCCCCACCCTGAGGCGTCTGGGCTACAACCTGTATCGTCAGACCTGCCACCACTAGCTGCACCAATTCCTCTGCATCAACCTCCTTTGCCTCGTCCTGCGCCTGAGGCCACCTTCACGCCTACGGCGGCTGGTCTCAGGTTGCCTGATGGTCAACAGCCAACTTATTGTGATTTGCAAGCTATGATCTCAGCAACACTATCCAGAATGTTGACAGGCGGTTTCTCGTCGGTGGTTCAGCCCCAAGGGATCCTCCCCCAGAGAGTCCAACCGTGCTCCGCCACTGCAGCTCCGGCTCCGACACGAGTCGATGTCGAACCCTCTGATTCTTCCATACAAGAATCTGTCCATAGCGATGACTCACAACTGGACTATGATGATGACAGGGACATGGAGTTCTCTGAGGACGATGACGTCTTGCCTGACAGACCAGCCTTCACCGGGTTGTTTCGGCCCTCCTTTTCAAGACCTTGTTCCATAAGGCCATAGTTACAACGCAGTTGGCCACAGCTCGTGCTCAACCTGAACAACTGAACGATCCATCTCCTCACGAGGCTCTTTTTGCGATACCCAAACCAGATCAAGAATTCATTCCCTGTCCTCAACTTTTTTCTGAGGTCGTACAGCAATCCTGGTCCCAACCTGGGGCTCTGGCGGTGCCCAACGGTCTCGATAAGAAACTTTTCTGCTCTGCACCTGTTCTCCAGGACCTGCTGGCCCTGCCCTCTGTGGACGTCCCGGTCGCCGCCCTGACGTCATCCCCAGTCCTCTCCAACGACATTGCGGACGGACTACGCTCGGAGGATAAGAGGGCTGAACTTATTTTTCACAAATCTCATCAGGCAGCTGCCTGGGCAGTTCGGGCGGCCATGTCAGCCTCATTGTTCAATCGTGCATCACTGATATGGCTGTGCCAGCTCCAAGAATGGCTTCCTCCTGACGATAGGCATCTCCATCAGGACGTAAATAAATTGGTGGCCGCCACAGAATATTCCGTCGACATGGCCCTCGCAGCGGCCAAATTCGCATCTCGATCCCTGGTGTCGACTGTGACATCTCGCCGCCTACTATGGCTTCGGAACTGGAAGGCGGACACAAAATCTAAATGGCGACTCACTTCCGCTCCCTATAAGGGATCTCACCTTTTTGGAGAGGCGCTGGATCCTATCCTCATTGAGGATAAAGATAAACGAAAGATTATGCCAACATTTTACTGGAGGGCAGACCGCCGCTACTCTCCTTATGGCCAGCGTCAGCCCTTTCGGGCCGGACCTGGACCCGGTGGTTCCACCTCCTATCGTCCCTCCAGCTTCTCGTCCGATCGCACCTTTGACCGACCGGCCTTTCGAGACCGGGGCAGACGCCAACAGCCCGCCAAGCGTCCCTTCTGCGGTACCGGATCCCGCCCCTTCAGACGGGGCAAATGACTGTCTCACGCCTCGTCCCATCAGCGGCCGGCTCGCCCACTTCTACCATCAGTGGGAATCCTCCACGACGGATGCCTGGGTCCTTCAAACAATCAGGCTGGGCCTGACCCTGGAGTTTTCCTCTTGCCCCCCCAACCGTTTCCTTCCATGCCCCGTGTCTGCCAACCCCGAGAAACGACGCCGGATGTCCG